TGTCATTATCCTGACTACAAACTTTGGGAGTTGTCATAACACTGTCTGACAACACTTGGTAGTTAGTTGTATAATCCTATTTGTCAACGGCAGTTGTTTTTATAGTTGTTATTATCCAGCAGGAGGCCACCACTAACACATTCACCCCTGAAGACACATTTGAACTCTTCCAATTAAATGTTGGAATGGTTCATTTTGAAATTTCAGGGTTGAATGAGTTAAAAACTATCCTGTTTGGGTAACCTGAGGAAGGCTTTTACATTTTGGTTGGTTGGTAGGTCAAAATATTTTGTACATCTGACAATGAAAAAAACATCCGCGGCCGAAGCAATGGGTCCATTTTGTTTTGGTCCTATGCCAAACATGCCTAATTATTCTTGTTCAGGCCTGACATGTAAACACTGTCCGACTGTTGTTGTACAGTTACTTTACTTTTTTGTAGGAATCATATAAAAAATAAAATGGGAAAATTCAATCTGACAGAAAAAGTGGGGGAACAGAAATAATGAATACTTACAGATGGAACTTTATCAAAGCATCCTAATGCTTTACTGACATTTTGCATGAAACATTAAATGGCTTATTGCTGTCTTTGTAGATCATCTTATGAAACTCTCACATTGAACGAGTAAAAAAATGGACATAACTGCCCGTCTTGATAAGGAGGTGTTTTTGTGTCGTGTTTGCATGACCCATGGATCTTCTGCCTTTGAGTTGTAGAGAATTTCTACGACTTCTACATCTCCTAATCGAGCCAATTTGTGACAGATATACTCGCTTGCAGATGCAGAACCCTATGAAATTAGGGATGAGAATCCATTGGAGAAAGATGAGATGACTGTATTGAGCAATGGCTTGGAAAGATAGCTGGTAATGACAACATTGTCGAGGCCTTCAGCGGGCATCGCTTCACCTACTCTCCACCAATCACGACAAGACCGTCACAATTTGTATTTCAAAGGCAATATCCCTGGCATCCAACTAAAAAAATGTGATTTGTGTGGGTTGGTTAGTTGTGGGAACCTATCCACATGGTGAGGGTATATTTAGAAGCAATAAACATGATCGTGTTTGTGTTTTGTCATTAAGACGAAAGCCTAAATTTAGAAAGTACAGGTGAAATTTGCTATTTTGAAATCTGAAAGTCAGCTCACAAAAACATATTTCACTTAAGTATGTGTGGGATGCAAATGAAAACTAAATCCGTTTATATACTGTGTAAAACTGCAGAAATCTGATAAAAAAAGGTATGGGATTTTATTAATAAACACTTTGTTAATATGCCAGGCCCAGAGAGATAGCCTGGTATGTGGAGTCTATCATCCTTGTACTCCCGAATGGTGGTAGTATATACACTTCTGTCCAGGGTAGTTACTGTCACACTGAAATACAACAGTCCTCAAAGTGGTGGTACTGTTACAACAACAGTCCTTAAAAGGGGTGGTACTGTTACAACAACAGTCATATGGGGTGGTACTGTTACAACAACAGTCCTAAGTGGTGATAATACAACAACAACAGCCCTAAGGGGTGGTACTGTTACAACAATAGTCCTAAGGGGTGGTACTGTTACAACAACTGTCCTAAGGGGTGGTACTGTTACAACAACAGTCATATGGGGTGGTACTGTTACAACAACAGTCCTAAGTGGTGATAATACAACAACAACAGTCCTAAGGGGTGGTACTGTTACAACAATAGTCCTAAGGGGTGGTACTGCTACTAAAACAGTTATATTGGGTGGTACTGTTACAACAACAGTCCTAAGGGAGGTACTGTTACAACAACAGACATATGGGGTGGTACTGTTACAACAACCATCCTAAGGGGGGGTACTGTTACTACAACAGTCCTAAGTGGTGGTACTGTTACAACAACAGTCCTAAGGGGTGGTAATACAACAACAACAATCCTAAGTGGTGGTACTGTTACAACAACAGTCCTAAGGGAGGTACTGTTACAATAACCATCTTAAGGGGTGGTACTGTTACAGCAACAGTCCTAAGGGGTGGTACTGTTACAACAACAGTCCTAAGGGAGGTACTGTTACAATAACCATCTTAAGGGGTGGTACTGTTACTACAACAGTCCTAAGGGGACGACTGGTACTGTTACAACAATAGTCCTAAGGGGTGGTACTGCTACTACAACAGTTATATTGGGTGGTACTGTTACAACAACAGTCCTAAGGGAGGTACTGTTACAACAACAGACCTATGGGGTGGTACTGTTACAACAACCAGCCTAAGGGGTGGTACTGTTACTACAACAGTCCTAAGGGGTGGTACTGTTACTACAACAGTCCTAAGTGGTGGTACTGTTACAACAAGAGTCCTGGTACTGTTACAACAACAGTCCCAAGGGGTGGTAATACAACAACAACCATCCTAAGGGGTGGTACTGTTACTAGAACAGTCCTAAGTGGTGGTACTGTTACAACAACAGTCCTAAGTGGTGGTTCTGTTACAACAACAATCCTAAGGGGTGGTACTGTTACAACAACAGTCCTAAGGGTTTTTACCCTGTTAGAACAATAGTCCTTTGGGGTGGTACTGCTCACAGGAAATTTAATGCTGAGCTTAACAACAAAATATATTAAATGGTCAAATTACCTTTCATTAGTGGAATCTGCCACCAACGTGTTACCTTTATAATTATTTTGAAATTTGAAACAGCTTTTACTTCAAATGAAGTTTTTATGTGTTTTTTTTCACTTTGAACTTTCATATCATGTAGAAGATCATTTTCTTGAAGTTAATTGTTTAAACAACAAAAATCTTAAAAACTCCTTCAAAGAATATTTTATCAAATACAACCTAGAATACTGTATAAAAAGTACAGTAAAATCCCTAATAAAGGATAAAAGGAATCTGCAAGTTTTCATGATGAAAATAGGTACCAAAATCTGTAAAGATAGGTAAATACAGGTACCAAAATCTGTAAAGACAGGTAAATACAGGTACTAATTCTGTAAAGACAGGTAAATACAGTTACCATAATTAGTAAAAGACTGCATATGCAAATTATATTACCCCCCTGGTGTTTACCTGTACATCCTCAAATTACAAAAAGTTTATACCTGTGTATACTCAACAGGTGGTATATGATGAAACACAACAGTACATGTGAGAAAACCCTTTCTAAAACATTAGAAACCTTTCACACACCAAGATCCAACCAGGTCTGACAATTAAAAACTGGCGTCTGAAATTCCAAGACGAACACCTGCACCAAGACATTAATTGCCGAGTGCAGTTTAGGCAAGGCTGCTTCTTCATGTTATCAAATTTAAACATTTCCTCTAAAAAACCTACTTCACTATTATACTTGTTACAGAACTGTAAAACAGAACATGGCAATTACGTACTCGAACCAGAACAGAATTTAGACGGGAAAATAATCTCCACAGATTTATTGAAGCTAAGAGTAAAGTCCTAGTTTAGGGATCCTAAAATCTGTTGGTAGTATATTTTCTGTAAATTTTTCTTTTTATGAACAACATCTCCAAAACTTGATTAGGTAAGGGTTGTGCTGTGGATACCACACTTGCCTTTCACCAAGGCAGCCAGTGTTCGATTCTCTGATCGAACGTGGAAAGGTATGGGGTCACCCACCAGACCACGTGGGTTTTACTCCCGATAATCTGATTTCCTCCCACAATTAGACCCACCGCACACTAACATCCAGGTCAACAAGAGTGATGAATACAATTGAGTTATATAAATAAGTTTTTATCAAACCTTATCGTAAATTCATTTTAAGACTCAAATCATACATAACCTAAAAACTATATTTTATAACAAAGATTATAAGGTACAGAGAGAGTTTAACCTGAAACATAGACATTTTGGTAAATATCAAATTTGAAAAACTGAACAAAGACTCCTTACTGTATCAAAACACTCCTGTTTTTCTATTTCAATTTGCAAGGGAGATGATTTACTTGAAATCTCATATTTATCTATGATAAACAAGCAAGACAGCAATTATCATATGTGGATTAATTTTGTTTCTTTTGCAAATTCAAATGCATAATTATTTATCAAAAGATATATAAAAGAAAGAAGACATTTTCCACTTTGGCAAATAAGATACTTAATTTTGATTATGTGTATCCAAATGTTGATATTTATTTGTGATATACATCAATTTAACAGGTCATCAAAATTGTGCTTTGAACAATGGACAACATAACATGGGTGTTTTCCAACTTTCCACGTGTTTTTGACGCACACTGCATACAGGTAACATCTTTTAGTCTGCTGAACCTAATGACACGTCAGGTAAAACTGAAATCCTATTTTAATTAAAAGCTACTATTGAAAAATTCATAACAGAACTGGAACAAATATTTCATCAACTTTTACTTCTATCTTGAAAAAATATATGAAATGTTGATGAATCATTCACCGAAACCCATAGCTCAGGTGGTTACAGGGCTTGTTTAGTAATCCCAGGATTGCAAGTTCAAACCAGAGTCCTGCTGTAATCTTTTTTTGTATCATTCAATGTTACATTTGTTAATTTGTTTAATATTATGGTTATCAATACCTTCAACAATTGGAGTTTTACGTGATATTTTCTAATTGCGTGATATTGTATAAGTTTGACATTCTGGAGCAAATATTACATTGACAGTTTACATGTCACATAGGGATACGAACAGGTATACCGAGATACTGACCTCGTCACATCTGTCTGTTTATCAGACAAAATTGGACTGTTTAAAAACAATTTTACTCCTTTGCACTAGTAAAATGAAAACTTAATTATATAAGAAAAATTCAATCATGTGTGGTCAAATTCAACAAATTTTACAATCACAGACCAAATTGTACGCTGCACAAAATGACGTTCCTTCGTGTACATTCCAACACTTTTTCAAACCAACTTACAGACAGAAAAAGAGAAAATGGGAGAGAAATGGTAATAAGATATAGGTATATTTCTATCCGGTCTCGGAACCAGAAAAGCAAAAGAAAGAAAGAAGTTGGACTTACCTGTGCGATCAATGTGTTTCTGTTACAATCTCTCTGTTGAAGAAGCTGCTGGTTAAATCCATGGAGACCTGACAGACTGCCCTCTGTAATAAACCACAAACATGACGACCTTAAAAGTGTGTAGAAACTTTGTCCCTGTAGTAAAGTGGTATTCACAAGTACATTACTCCAGGTAGGAATGCCTGATGCCAGCGTGGTCAGTCTTTGTAGCCTTTTGTACGGCCAGGTTACATTTAATTACTCGGTTCCTTGTGTTACGTTAAAAAAAACATCACAGAGAGACGATTGTATTCGAAAGTGTTGGCCCTTTAATCACGAGTTGTCCCCTCACTTTGCATGTTGGGAAGCCAGGTTTGGCTTCTGAGGTTGCTACCTTGCCCTCACCCTGCCAGTTGGCTGCCCCAGTATGTATGAATGAGTGATTCACTTTCACTGCTATATCACTAGGCAGGCACAGGCCCACCTCAACAGGCACAATCTTTGCCAAATTTCTAAAATTAGCTGCCGTTCCAGTTACCCCCCTTAATATTCTCCACAGCAGTGAAAGTTTGGTGTCTCTTCAAAAACAGAACCCCTCTCCCATCATCCTCATCCCCATCATCATTATCAGCAGCAGCAGCAGCGTTGTCGGCGGAGAAAGGAGAAGAGAGACCCTTACTGAGACTGAGAAATGCCCCAACACACTGATACGACCTAAGTTTCTCTTTCACTAGCCCGTAGTCTGAAGGTACAGTCATCTATATTCCACAACTAAACGTTTCCAAGCAGCCTTCTCTATCTTGAATTGACACAGAAAATAATCGCAAAACCAGCGCGTGTTTAGAGATGATTGTTCGGGATAGATAGAGAGAGAGAGGACCTTACCAACCCTACATATGTACCTGAAGTTGGTGGGAAGTCTATGGGCAACATGTAATCAATTCTGTGTACAACTGGCGAGATATTGATCCCACAACGGCCAGGGAGTTCACTAGTATTTCTATAGGAGCTGCTTTAATAGATATAGCTAATCATTTCAACAAGTTTTCAAAGCATCATTTTTCTAAATTGTGTTTTTCTCTTTAAGATAAAATTGAAATTAAAACATATGACTAAATATTAAAATCGAAATTCACAATTTTTCATGAAATTTAAAAAATGCCATAAAAGAAATCTTTGAGGAGAAATATTCCACAATGATATCAGATAGAAATGAAATACTGTTATGGTGCTGGAGATATAAACCTACAATTTGTAAATGACCGAAGAATCATCTGAACATCTCTCCCCGTTGAATTCTGCAACATCAATATCGTCTGGATTAACAAACAGATTTGTGTAGGAGAGCCGGGTCTCATGTTACACACCATCATCACTACAGCTATCGCCAATAGAATCACTGTTCCACCTTCACAATTCATAAATTTGTTACAACCGCCATCGAGCTGCCATCACTATCATCAATACTGAACTGGTTGGAGCAACCTTACAAGGCGTTGCTAGAGAGCAGCCATGCCAAATCTTGAAGTGGTAGTAATTAAATGGCATAACAACACTGACTATTTGTCCCTTCCTCTATCGTAACCAAGCTTCTTAGTGACCCTGATTACATGCATATCAGAGCAACCAAACTTTTCAAATATGGATTTTTTTTACATCATATTTAACAACAATTTCCCATCAACTGTACACATAATTAAACTTGTTTCTGTAGAAGGTTACAAACTTGTTATTGACCGCTCAGTGACCCTGATTACATGTATATCAGAGCAACCAAACTTTTCAAATATGGATTTTTTTACATCATATTTAACAACTATTTCCCATCAACTGTACACATAATTAAACTTGTTTCTGTAGAAGGTTACAAACTTGTTATTGACCAAGCCGTGAAGCCCACCTATTAAAAAAGTCATTAGTTACATATAGCCCTACATATCCTACAATCTGTCTCTGTAGCCCACACTAATCAACCCTAAAAGCGATGATCTTGACCTGTAAAGACCTCCAATGATGGTAGCTGTCCAAACAAGACCTCAAATCCTCTATCCTATTTCCCGGGGATGTTGTGGATGAAACTGATCACTTTTTGACCATCATTATTTCTATGTAATTGACAAGTGTACAAAGCCCTGTGTACACAAGCATCCAGTTCTAGCCATAAATTTGTGATGACCTAAACATAAAGTTTTTACAGGAATCATTAATCAGCTCACATCAAAGATAATGTTGTTCTTGTCGTCTTTAAAATCAATACTATGGCCGCTAACATGCACCAATCATCCTTGAGTATGTTCAAGGTCTCCACAACACCAGATCACCAGAACATCCACTCCATTATATCTCTACTGTATGTAATCCCTTACCTACCTTAATCAAACCCTGCATAATTCAGACATCTGTTTAAACCAGACATTTAACTAAGGTCTCAAGGTATGAATTCCTATGTGCATAGAACCTGTGTTACCAGAATACCTGTATAAACCAGACCATCTAAGTCTCACATTATAAAATTATTCTTTAAATGAAACAGTGTAATCTAGAAATCTGTATGATGAAGATGTTAAAATTGAGATGCATTTCCTTAATCTCCTATAACACTTACGGTGTAAATGGACGAAATCATAAAGCTTAGCTCAGAGCAAATCAGAGCAGCATTATATATTGAAGAACTTTGTTGAAACTCAGTAAAATGTTTTATATTAAGATGTTAGTTTCATATAGACAGGTAGGGAGATAAACACACTTTACACTGTATAAGTAGGTTTTGGTGGACTTGTCAAGTCATCAACAACATGATATTGGCAACAAAAAATGAAAGAATAATCGACTTCTAGGATATCTCCAACTGCCAACAACAGAATTCTCTATCCCATAAATAAAACAATATCTTTTTTTATGTGTGATAATGATTTTCTATGGTTTTGTCAGCATAGATAAGTAAGCATTAATTTCCATCTGTTTGCCCTACACAATGTTTCTAGACAGTCATCATTGTTACATACTGCTCTGTGATTGGCTGCTGTAAACATCTAGGAAAGCCTTTAAGTGTGTTTTGGGTGTTTAGTATTCCTTGCAGTCAGTCCCACCAAACCTTATCATAGGCTTTATTGCAGAAAGGTCACATTGCCCCATGTAAGTTACCCTGACCTTGCATTTTTACCTCCTTTACTAAAGATTTCCTAATGTAGAATTCCAATCACATCAACGACTACACAATAACACTATGGCAAATGCTGTATGTGGGAAGGTATATCGATCGGAGAATTACTGATAATGGATTTTAATCAATGTCGATTGGAGATAATCCTGTAATATTAGTCTGTAATGGTTTGCAGCAGGTCCTAGGCACACAGCTGAATACATTCCCACCATCCTCATGTCACACAACAAACGAGGGCACAATGATAAAGGTGATATATAGTTAGTCGTCTTGTAGAACTTTAATGTCAAGGAGGCAGTCATATCTTATAAAACCAAATGACAACTGTAACTGGGTCACATGTAAATCTAACCACCATCTACTTATTCTATTAATATTTCCGGAACTCACCTTTTTTGTCTGGTTCCTTTTTTGTTCTGTATTATGGCTCAAGAGATAATTTCAAAATTCCAGTGCACAGTCGTTTTGTATTTGATCATCAATATGTATTTTAGTCTTGTCTCTTATAAATACATGGATAGCAATATATCATGTCCAATATATATTTACACTTTACACTTTGAAAACTCAATAATACTCATTTTGTATTACTCTTAAGCCCAAACAACGATAAAAAGTGTATGCCAATTTTGTATGTTTCTTCATATTTATTATAATTTTTGAAGATATTTGCTTTATCAATCGGTCCATCAAACTAGCTGTGATTAGGACTAGAACATAGAACAAACTAGCTGTGATTATGACTAGAACATAGAAGCATTGTCTGTAAACTCTATCTTTGGGGAACATTTCCTAAAATGGTAAAGATAATCAATGTATGGTCTGTTTTACAGAAGTTCATCAAAACATTCCATGTGAGGAATTATTGTCTGTCACACAGTCCTGTATGTGATCACTGCTTAGTAAACACACAGTACAATCATATACATGTGAGGGATTGTAGTCTGTCACACAGTCCTGTATGCGATCACTGAAGATTAAACACACAGTACAATAATAACTGTACACATGTTATATAAACTGTTATATAAACTGTTATATAAAAGTCTTACAAAACTGAATCTTCTCTATTATCCATTATGTGACAATCACTCAGTCCTCACAGGCGCCGTATACAGAACAGATTTAGAAGGTCGACCATAGTAACCTGAACCCTTATCAGACTTTAATCTTAGTTGTAAACTGAACCATGCTGTCCACTAAACCTCCTAAATGGTTATTAAAACTTTCGATCAGATTCTATGTGGTAGAGTATGTGACCTCTCCACAGTAATGATGCTTTGGAAGTTTATAAATAACAAATTTTGTATAAGATATCTTCCTTAAGTGCATTACTATCACTACAGTGGCCCTGACATTTTAACTTTGACCTCTATCACTACAGTGACCCTAACATTTAAACTCTGACCTCTAACCCTACAGTGACACTGACATTTAAACTCTTACCTTTATCACTACTGAGTGACCTTGACATTTAAACTTTGACCTCTATCACTATTGACCCTGACATTTTAACTTTGACCTCTATCACTACAGTGACCCTGACATTTAAACTCTTACCTCTTATCCTACAGTGACACTGACATTTAAACTCTGACCTTTATCACTACTGAGTGACCTTGACATTTAAACTTTGACCTCTATCACTATTGACCCTGACATTTTAACTTTGACCTCTATCACTACAGTGACCCTGACATTTAAACTCTTACCTCTAATCCTACAGTGAAACTGACATTTAAACTCTGACCTTTATCACTACTGTGACCTTGATATTTAAACTCAGACCTCTATCACTACAGTGACCCTGACATTTAAACTCTGACCTTTATCACTAGTGACCTTGACATTTAAACTCTAACCTCTATCATTACATTGACCCTGACATTAAATATAGAATATTTAAAACATCTGATTTGTCATTAAATCAATTCCAACGAT